CATGATGGGATTTAAGCGAGTATACTGAAATGAAAAGAAACATCCACAGAGAGCTCCATGATGGGATTTAAGACCTCTGCTGTTTAAAAACAATCGTCAGAATTGGGGAAGCAAATTTATATCACAGTTTTGAGAACTGGGCCCAGGGGTCCAAGGGTTGTGAAGGCTGAACTACCTTGAATAGTATGACCTCCCTTTCATCTCCCTTTAAGAACCATCCTCAGTGAGGCTAACACGATCAGACTGGCCCGGGGGGGGGGGGGGGGGGGGGTTATTGGGATCCAGGGCAATTTACGAGGTGATAACAGCCCAGACTAACAGCACTGAGGCCGCTTCTGGCTGGACAGGTAGCCGCAGAGAGTCTCAAATACTGTGGGGCCGGTCAGAGTGCAAGCCTGGCGCTGCGCTGTCGGGCCAGAACCTCAACTCCAGATCTGAAACTAAGGCCCGTTCAGCACATATTTCAGTGTCAGTCCTTCCCAGGTCAGTGCAACGAAAAGCACAGTAACTGAACCTCTGTATGTAGGCAAAATGTTGAGAGGACAATGACAGCAATAGAGTTACACAATTTTTGGTGGTGATAAATAAAAAATGAGGATGGGGGGTGACCTGGGGGTGTTCCATGAAGCAGGATTTCTCATTTAACTTAAGTTAGAAAGTCATGATCACCCAATAAGAGTTTAGGTAAGGAACATTCCTACTGGACAATCCTTCTAGCCTAAGTTAACCCAGCTAACTGAGAAATCCTGCTTTGTTTAACACCCCCCTGGTTCTACAATGGACAGCCCTCTACTCACCTTTCTCAAAAATTACCTCTTTAATCATACATGATAAACAGGAGTACAGTGGGTATCTGCTGGAAGCGTCTAGGATCTAGATGTTTCTTTCTCAGGTTCAGAAGCAATGATACTTCAATCTGGGCTGTCTGACCTCAGCTCAGTCCAATAAACCAGAGCCATGAGATAACACTGCGGTAATGAGAGCTATCGAGCATCCAGGATGTGATGCACACAGCTCTAGATAAAGAGCATTGTGGTCACAACCAATCTGCTGTCTCAGAGACTGACAGCATGGACGAGAAGTACCTCTTCAATGTGAACACCACCCCCCCATCCTCCCCCAGGTTCGGTGATTCTGTCACTTGTACACCAGTGACATTCATATTGCCATTATTTGCACAGTACTTTCCAGATCAGGAACGCGGCCCGTCTGTCATTTGGTGTTACCGTCACAACGGAGGCCGAGGGAGACGTGTGAAACGCCTCCGTGCGGCAGGTGAACTTGTTCTGAAGGAACAGACACGTCTGCGTGCTTTAATTAAGGGTAGGTGGGAACCACTCACAAGGAACAACAGAGACTAGGAAATGACACTAATACCCAACAGAAGCTGAACGTTGCATTTTGTCATTCTTGTAAAATATATTTCGGTTGACTTGATTTACTGCGTCCCTCCTTTTTTCTTGCACTTCTTATGCAGATTTATGAGACAAGAGGACACGTGTACATGGAGTGTGAAGCAGATGACCAAGAAAACAGCTGCCACAGGGTGGACCTACCTTTGAGAGATCTCTGAAGTTCCCGGGCAGGGTGAGATCCAGCTCCTCAGACTCGTAGTTGGTGAGGACCCAGGGAAAGACAGGGTACTGGTTCAGGTCATTGTAGGTCCGTCCTGGGGGGGGGGGGGGGGAGAGAGAATGGTGAGGGTAGGAGGGGGCTGTAGCTATGAAGCGAGAGGAGAATGTTGGGTTCACGACGGAGAGGACTTGAGCCTGATATTGACCCTGTCATCTGAGATGCTGTCCTCACAAGTGAATCAAAGTGAAGGCATGGAAGTTAATATCTGGGAGCCTCACAACGTGTACAGCACATCTGTACAGCCAGTCATGTTAGACTAAGTGTGGTCAACCATTCGATAGGGAGCTGAAACTGAGGTTTTAGCTCAACTGGAAAATATTCCTTGGTGGTGTGCAGCTCCTTTTAAGTTTATTTCATAACGGTCCTACAGCGCCTGACGGGACAGCCGTGGAGGTTACCATGGAGATGTCCCACATCGACAGCTTTGCCTCTCCATCTCAAGCCATTGTAGCGTTTTTTTGTCTTAATTGACAATGTTTTTGGTTTTGCCCATGTTTAGTGCTGCAAGAGCTTAAACTATCGAATACGTTCTCATATTCGAATACTGAATTTTATTTCTGGAATATTTCCTTCCACCACAAAGGTACTGAAACGTCATCTGGAGAATTCTCCCATACTGTTTGGGTGAGTGCGATCAGTGCTTGCACCCACCATCTACTCTGTTTACTTGGTCGTATGTTATGTGTGGTTGTGTTACAAATGAGAAAAACTATACTGGTGCCACTCCGTGGTCAGAATATGAACTACATGTGAATTTTGGGTATTAATGAGTTATTCATATGCAGATTTTTCTTCAGTTTTTTTTTTCCTTTTTTTTTTTTACTGTTCATTCCCTCGGGGTTGAAGTCAGAGGGCTTCCGTCCAGGGACACAGTGATAGACACGTGACTTCATTCTCACAAAATGTGCGAAGCCTTTCCTTGGGTACGCACCTAAGCTAATTACACGGCGTTAGCATATTAAAAGCGGGGAGTGGGTCCCTCTGAGGGAGGCCGACGGAGGTCAGAGTAGGAGGCCTGACAGGAGCAGAGACGGCACCGGGGTGACGGGGACGCTAATGACGGCGAAGCAGCGTTTAATTAGGGCCCCGCTGCCCGCATGACAACACCCCCCACCCCCAACCCCATCGCGCCCGTCATGACGAGACAGCGACACCCTGACACCCTACATCCCTCCCCACCCTGGGGGTTATTAGACTTTTTTTCCCAGCACATTTGCAGTGCGACTCCAGAGCTAATTAGACGACCGGCGGCCATGGATTTGCGATCACATGGCGAGAAGGGGGGCGGTGAAGGCGTCTGGCGTCCGCAGCTCACATCTCTATAAATCTCTGCCTCCGATTATGGAGGACGTGGGCTCACAGGTCAAAGTAAATGCAGAACAACTCAAGGGGAACGATTCAGGGGATTCCATTGCATGCTGGGAAATACACAGGGATTGACATAACTGGTACGCAAGTACACATTCACCTTTAAAAGTGATGCGCGTGGCAATCGATTGTTGTAACAGTATGTATCATTTTTAAAGGTGAATGCGTACCTGCATACCAGTTATGTCAATACCTGGAAATACGGTATGCCTGACCACCCCTCAACCAAACAGAAAACCTGTCATTCTCCAGATCAAATTACTGTATTAAAAAGGAATCATTCAATAAATAGTGATGCCACGGCAAGTGTGTGAAAGTGAATTCTGAAGCTCAGGGCAGGCGTGATAAAGCTTAATTTGTAAAAACCATGCTTCTAAGGACAATGTGATTATGAAGACTCCTTCGTATAAGTGTGGCCTCCACTCCGCTGGTGTCGCAGGTGTAATCCTACCCTGAGGGACAGCCAAACCCCCCCAGGAGCGTCAGGATGGGGTGGGGTGGGGGGTTCACAGCTTGCTGTCAACCTCTCCTATTGCCAGGCGCTTGATGGCAGAGCCACGAAAATGAGGTTTTGTTGTTATTGTTTCCAGACACAGAGGGAAAACGCCTTGTTGAGTGTAATAAAGTCTCAGCTCCAGATGGGGCTGTCATCGGTGGCAGTGATGGGGGGGGGGGGGGGGGGGGTGGGGGGTAAAGCACCTGGGGACAGCACACGCAGAAGGGAATCAATCACGCAAGCATGCACACACACGGGGGTGGGAAGGGACCGCACTCACCTGCAATGGTGTTGAGGAACATGAGATACTCAAAGTTGGAAATCTCTCGCCTCTGCCAACGCTGGGTCATGTTGGAGGACTTAAAGAGCTGCCGCGGGGTGGCTAAAGAAATCCGTCTGTGAGGGAGGAGGGACAATCAGACCAGCATTGCCCCCAAGCCATGCCTTCTCGCTCGGCCAGAGGACAGTGGTGGGACAGTAGGGGTATGTTACAGGGAAAATGCCGAACACATACGCAAGAATAGATGATGCTATATTGTTGTTTCAGGCAGAGCCTGATACATACGCCCACTGAAACAAGCACACGGAGTGGATTTTAATAGGTTTGTGTCAAGTATACCCTACCTGGCTTGGGGAAGGCCGTAGCTGGTCCCTACACCCACCCTCGGTAGGCTGTAGACCACCTTCTTTACTGTGGCCTGGTCAGGGAAGTTGAACATGACCGAAGCTGGGAGGGGGGAGGGCATACCAAGGATAGTTAGTTAGTTATAGTGCAAAAATCAACACCGACGACGAAGATAGACCAAATTGGAGGGTCTAGACCAGATTCTCTTACTTCTGTTGGCCATAAAGACCTCCAGGGCCGTGTTCTGCAGCAGGTAGCGGCGGGAGAAGACTGCCCGGATCTCGCTGAACATCCACTTGCCATGCAGGCCCTCGGAGTACGCCAAGACCTGCAGAGGCAAGCACAGGGGGACCGTCGGTGCCATGTCCGCGCCTCCCGGTTTGACGTCCGCGCCATGTTCCGACCCCCGACATGCCAGGCGGGGAACACGAAACACGAATAGCCTTCTGACTCTTCACCGGAGTGAAGTGAGCGCAGTTTGACACGTGGTCGCCCCGGCCGGCGATCGGATTTCAGTGAAATTAGCCATGATTACTGCGTGATTACCATCACTCAGACCATATGTTTATATAAACCCGCAGTTAGACTCTTAGCAGTTACTCAAAAGCAGCATTCTTTTCAACTTCAGTTATGCTGGCAGTAATGCGATACTGATGGGGAGCTCTGAGAAGCAGATGACCTGGACCCTGTTTTTTAAAAATTGCTTTTAACTGACCCCTGCTCTCAGCCAAGTTTTCGGGCTCCGTCGGCACGGCGACTGTGGTAATGGCGTAGTTCCCGAGTTTTAACAAGGTGCAAATCTCTGTGACTCTGGCAGAGAGGCAGACAGTGAGCTTGCGGAGAGGAGGGGGCGGAGTGGGGGAGGAGTATTAGTCAACTGCCATCGCTCACGGTTGTCGACATCCTGGACAGAATTCCTTGTTACGTGCGGCTGATCCGACATATTGCCCGTACCTCTTCATTCTGCACTGTACCCCGCACGCACGCACGCGCACACACACACACACACACACACACACACACAGATGAATAAATCATTACCAACCAGAACGGTGCCCGACAAAAATGTGACTTGACAGGACGAGGCGCGGGGTCATTAGGAAGCTACACGGCTTCCTGACTGCAGCTTCAAGGGAAGGGGGTCGTGATGTACGAGACCCCCCCCCCCCCCCATACATATACACAATCTCTCAGAGAAAAGAGCGAATTAAATTCTGTCCCAATAGTCACATGACAGTTCATCAAACTTAATCAGAATTCTGAACAATAGATCCACAAACTCCTGGGGTTAAACAGAGTGCCTGGGGTGTTACGGGTCAGAAATGCCAGTGTTATTGTCCCAAGCCAAAATGCTCCTGCTCAAATAGCTGCAATGGTCACAAGAGGACAGGAGAACTGGGCTGACTGCGGCACAATTGTTCTCTGAGGGAGTAATGAAGAACTCAAAGTGAAAGTCAAGGTTTGGCCTACAGGTGCCCCCCCCCCCCCCCCCAACCTACAGCTGGTTAACCTTACCCCAAGCATCAGGTTCTAATTAAGTTCTAGGGATCAAGGTGCTGTGTCCAAGACATCATTACAGAACAGATCTCTCTGCAAGCTGCCCCTGTGGGTCACAAAGTCCTGCTGTAAACTATGACCAGTGGTATCTGTTTCTATCCCGGGAGATGGAGCTCCTGCAGGACAACTGAAAGGGGGGAGGATGATGTTTTTCTTTGGGGGGTGGGGGGTGGTATTTGGATTGTTCTCGCTACTAAAACAGGCCATAACACCATGGGGTTAGGCTGGTCATCCAGCACCTCCAGAACAAACGGTGTTGAAAGCTTACAGTAGTCTAGGGGAGTTCTATGGAGGATTTGGGGGGGCTGGCTACCCCCCCACCCCCCATGCTGAAAGATGGGAAAAGGCACGCTTCCAGAGGACACATTCCCAGCAGCGGAGCCCCAGTCAGAATGCCTTCCTGCTGATCTCATACACTGTCTCATTTCCATCCAAACGAAAGTAACATCATACTCACTGAGGAAGCTCAGGCAGCCAGACAAGCGGCACACAGGCTGCGGGGCTGCGTCCCAGCGGCAGGACCGGCGCTGTACGCTCAGCACACAGCGCAGAACCGGCAGGGATTCAGTGTAAATGGGCCTAAGCGTGCGAGTGTACCGTATGCCCGAGTCCGGGCTGGACACTGAACAGAAGCAGCTGATGCAGAGAAGAGGGATCTTGTTGAGAGGAAATGGACTTAAACACAGCGAGGAGGTATGAAGACAAGAGCAAACCCATTCAGCAGCCACATGTGGGAAAAATGCACATGAAAAGGGAAAAAATGTCACAGTAAACCCTTTAAGCATAGCAGCCAGAGGTCAGGGTCTGGGAGTAAAATAACAAAACAATCAGCCTTGAATAGGATTCTGAAAAAAACATGTAATTTTAATGGTCTGCTCACCTGAGTTCCACTGGCACGTTCACACCCCTCACAGCATGTAAATGCCATTTTTACCTACTGGCTTCACTGATGTTCCTTCACCGCTGTGTGCAACTTCTGTGACGTTATAGGGCCTGACTGCTAAGTGCACCTCTGTCCTGGAATGGGGCTCACACGCGTGCTAGTGCTGTATCTAAATACGCACCTTCAAACAATGTCCAGATACCTATTACAGGATAGTTCCCGAAGCCCTGGATCACACTGGGCATTGACTTTTTTTAATTTTTTAAAAATATATGCATGAACAATTAAAACTCTGAAAATGTGTGGCCTTCACCTGCTGCCTAAAAGTGCCTTGGGGGGGAGGGTGGGTGTTTTTCCCTGCTTGGTCACAATGGAGGTCAGAACACACCACAATGGATGGGATGAAAATCTCATTTTCTGGTAGGCATTAAGAAAAGCCCCCTTACAACACAACCCCCCTGCGAAATTTAGGGTACCCCTCTACTGGTGCTGTCCGAGACCAGTCGAGCGTGTCAGGGGAATGACTAGTGCCTCCAGCACAGCACCCCCCCAAGACGGGCCAAACAGCTGGATTAATCAGCCCCCAGCAAGGAAACAGACACACGACTAGCCTGTCACTATGGCTGATATTGAAGTGGGGACTGCCGACCAGTCCTCTAAGCCTGAAATTGCTGTTTGCAGCAACATGACTTATGCTCATCATCATCATCATCATCATCGTCGTCATCATAATACACCAACAGCTGCATAACTACTGCAGCAATCTGCTTAAGAGGGCCGTTTCCGGCACCGGAACCCGTGCTCCCCCAAACGCTGGTGAGTTCGTGCACGGTAGAGAGATGGCGGTGGCTCAGCGGGCTCCTCAAAGCCAATGAGCCTCACTTGTCCTTCATTAATTCCCCCCCCCCACCATCCCCCCAGCACCTTTGTTTTGACTGTGCCCTCCACGAGAATGTAACACTGACACTGCCATCCATTATCCTTTTGTCCACATGAAACGGCTCAATATGTTACAGGCTCCTCTCATAATTCTTCCTGCCGTCAGCAGTATATCATCCAGAAAACACCCCCCCCCCCCCCCCCACAGACCACAGTCCATAAAGATCATAGACACCGCCAAAAAGAAGAGGGTAGGAATCACTGGGGTGCTTTTTTTCCGTTTCCCTGGAGCTCATCTGTCATGGGTGTCGGTGACCAGCACAAACATAGAAAAGTGGGAGGGGCTTTCACTAACCAGTAGTGTGACCCCCCCATGCTACCATGTAATGACCTGAGGCAAACCGATTAAGCCATACCTGCCACGCTGCCCATGATCGGCCAATGGGTACCAGTGCTAACCAGTACGCCTCGGGTGGTTGGACTGCACGCTCCCAGAAAGGGCATGGATCACATCCCAGACAGGAGCAAAACAGATCAAACCCCATACAATGAGGAGACCAAGGAACTGTCATGTGGCTGGATAGATAAACAGATACACTTTACTGATCCCAAGTGGGAGATAGTGGACTGACTAATCTGGCCAATCACACCAAACACAAGGCAATCAAGGCAATCCAAGCAGCCTCCATCAGTGCTGGAGACCTGATTGGTACTCTCTTCTTTGTCAAACTATAAAAAAGAGAGAAATGTAAGCTGTTTCCAAGGATTTTGTATAAACAAACAATTTTTTTTCCTAGTGGTGAAGTGAATATTACAGGAGAGTAAAATAATCCCCCCCCCCCATACCTGAATAACAGACACAGGTGTTATCCCATCATTCTCTGAGGCAGAGTGAGTTTAGGACAAACTTTGAATGAAATGATGTATTCAGTCAAAACACTTGTGTGGGCCACACAGCGCCATACTTGGGGATCCACACTGACGATTAAAATCTTAGCTTAAATCCTGCCCATGACCCCAGTGTCTGGAATCTGCTGACGGTTCCCACTGATCCGGGGTCAGCGTGAGGTGGCAGCTCTGGAGCTGGAGGTCGTGTTGACTGGTTAGCTAGCTCCTCAGCTTCAGAGCCTTTACAGGAACTACTGGCCAACTGCCAACCGAGCTCTATTTTGTTACATAGGTTGTTAAGCTGAGAGTCCCAGAGGAATGAGAACTCTCTGTACATTGCTTAGACCATGGCCAAGGGTCTGAGGTCTGTATTCCGCTGAATTCCATCAAGCAAGCAGCACATTTTAAACCAAAGCTCCTTCGATTTCATCCCACGACATTTCAGACTGCAATCACCTTCTTTCATTGCTCAGCCGAATTTCCTAACCCACTGAATGAAGAAATTAAAGGTTGCCACCAACTACATAAGGAATTACTTGCTACATTTGTTCAGGGAAGTGGAAAACGACTATAGTGCCATTTGTTTGCTTGTTTATACCCCCGAAATGAGCATCATGTGATTCCCCGCTATGTAACCTGCCCCCGCCTCCTCGCCTGTCATCAGGAAGTACGCTGATCTAAGATTCAGGTGGAGCTTTGGTGGGCATGGAGACCAACAGGGTTTTTGAGGGGATGGTGAAGGTCTGCTGCCATCGCGTCAAATTAACGCCTCCACGGCAATTCAGCTACAAAGCCCCGAGCTGCAAATTCACTGGCAAAATTGGAGGTGTGACCCCAACCCGTTTCGCAGGTGGCATGCGAAAGCAGCCTCTACCTGAGCCGGATGACACACGACAGCGGCAGGACTGTGACAGTCATAAGTCCGATCCAAAAGACGTTTGCCCTGTTAACAAACACAAAGATCGGTACACCAAGTGCAAACAACAGTGTCTCGTTTCAGATCAGCCATTTCACAAGAGAGTGAAGGAGCATTGACGGGATACAGAGGGAGCCACACTTTGGCACCAACAAGCCAGTAACAGGTAAGGCCTCAAATTAGGCCTGGGTATCAAGTTAGTTGC